GGGAAAGTGAAGGCGCTCAGTCATGTCCGACTCTTAGCGACCCCATGGACTGCAGCCCACCAGGCTCCTCCGTCCATGGAATTTTCCAGGCGAGAGTACTGGAGTGGGCTGCCATTNTAACTGGCACTGAACTGACAAATATATATGCACAAATATATTTATGTATATATATTCAGTTTTGTTAATTGTTAAAACATGGTCACAATTTACTGGATGAATTAAAGGTAGTGACTCTTAATGAGACTTGTGAAACTCAATTACACATGTAACCTGTGTTTTTCCATTTCTTTAGAAAATTCAGAGTCTGCACTATCCTCTCTTCCTTTGTATTGCCTTCAAATACCACACTTCAAGCAACAGTAATGAGGTTTATCAATATCGTGCATAATCCAAAGAAGTCTATTCAAGTCAGAATCTTTGAACTGTGTTTTTTTCTACTCTGTTTTTTCTTGATTATGCCCACAAATAAGAGGAACAAGACACAGTAGCCATAAGTTGTATAAAATACGGAATTGTGCACAGAAAAATAACCTGAGCCTAGTGAGTGTCTATGAATTTGGTCTGAACTATTGGTCAACTCAAGACTTGTTAATAATAAATAGATGATAATCTTGAAAGTGGAATTTTTTTGAACCTTCATTGATTTTGGTCTAATTTGCAGTGATTCAGCTCAGAGGCCCTAAGATGTCAATTTAAGTAGGAGAAACAAAACAGCTTGGAGATAAGGAAGTGAAGAGGTGTCTGAGTAGTGACTTGCAACAAGGTAGATGCGATTATAATTAAAGTCAAGTAAAATGTGCTGGAGAAAAAGTAGAAAAGATAATATCCTGAGATAAACTGGTGAGCTATGAAAAAATAACAATACAAAAATCAAAGTACTGAGGAAAAAAATAACTCCACCATAAAATGCTTCTTAAAAAGGCCTTTTCACTCTTTTGTGAGCATAGATTTCTGTCTATAAAATGGAAATCCCAACATCAACCTTGCTCATTAGTAAATTTCAATTTTTAATAATAATAATGTTATTTGAATATTAGTATATTTAAATATTTATATTGATATAATGATTTTAAAATAATGGACTTAAGATAATTAAGAAGTGTTATTTATGATTTGTTAAATGACTGAAAAATAAATCATCCTGTTGCATTTCTGTGTTTACTCTAGCTTATAGATATGATAAATGCTACAGTAGTTTAAAATCATGAATTGATAATGAAAGATGTTTTAGATTCCTTTATGCAAGCAGGAAAATTGCAGAGTGAGGACTTTAAACCTCATGATAGTTTATACACTCTGATAATATAACAAAAAGTAGTTTACCACATACAAATGCCCTTTGATAGTTCTTTAGTATTCTTCTAGAATTATTTGCTTTCCAAGCATTAAGAAATTTGATTACTTAAATAATAGAATGACAACATTCAATAATACATAAATTCAGATTATTTAGACAATTTTCAAAGACTGAGTGCTATTTTCAGCTGATTTAACCACCACTTATAATCTGTCTCTTTCCTCTTCTGTCTTACTTAATATTATACTTTTTATAAGATGCTATTTCCAGTGCTCATATGCCATCAGTCCATCACGTGGGAGTAACTGATGACCAAAGAGAAATGAAATTAAATAGCTAGATAGACAAATTTTTATTGTTTCCAAGAAACCAAAGATGATTACAAAAGCAGACTATAAACATTCTGAAGATACACAGATCTTTTCAAAACCATTATTTGACAAGATATAATATTTTCTATCAATTTGAACAGTTATCATCTGTGGAATATTAATAAGCTTACAGAAGTGCCCCTGCTCTGATGTGTCCATTTTTCAGTAGAATCTACATTCTGTGCATTATTTGTGGTGAAAGTTTTTCATTTGACCTTAATGCTGTAGTTTTGCTGCCATTTCAGGTAGGTTTCTAACTTACAAATGTATCCATGGACAGAACCTTTCCAGTTATTTTCTTAAAGTCTTGGAACATTAGATGTCTTGACTATTTTGATCCATAAGAATATTTTAGATATGCACAGATGACATAATAAAAAAATACTTAGGTTTCTTTTATGCTTGTTTCCTCTTCTAAATACATTAAGCAAGAGTCTTATTTCTAATTTTATTTATGTAAATTTAAGAGTTAGCAGTGATTAGTGAAATCCAGTTCCTGACATTATTGTTTCACTTGGATTTAGTTTCTAATATTTCCTGAGCTTTAGTCTTATTTAAAAGATAGGGACAATATCTTACAGGGCTTTTGTGGAAATTTAGCTGAGTAAATAAATACTTGATAAGCACTTAGCATAAGTACTCAGTATTTATAACTATCAATGCTATAAAGTAAATAAAATAAAATGTAATTGTTGATCTAACTTAAAAATAGAATAGACTCTTCACCACAGTTATCCAAAAGGAGAAATATCGGAAGGTGATAGAAAATGCCAGTAGATATGTCAAAAGCTCATACAAGAATCATTCCATTCCTTGGTTCAGCATCAAACTGGAAGCAAAATCCAGAACTATTAAGTATCACTTAATGATCAGGATGAACATATGGTGATTAAGTACTTAAAATCCTAGTCAAAGCAATTAGGTACGAAAAAAAATCAAAGACATCAAATTTGAATGGAAACAGTAAAAAATGTCTGTTTGCAGATGACTTGACCTTATAGAAACCCTAGACTCTATCAAAAAAAAAAAAAAAGAAAGAAAGAAAGAAAAACTGTTAGAACTATCAACAAATTTGTAAGGTTGCAGGATACAAAAATCAGTACACGAAAATCAATTGTTTCTATGCACTAATAATGAATTATTGGAGAGAGAAATAATAAATTATTTTAAGAAAAAAAATTAATTTACAATAGCACCAGAAAGAATAAAATTCTTAAAAACACATGTAACCAAGGAGGTAAAAGATGTATACATTGAAAACTATAACATTGATGAGAGAAATTAAAGAAGACACAAATAAATGGGAAGGTATTCTGTGTTCATTGATTGGAAGTATTAATATTGTTAAAATGTTCATACAACCTAAGGCAATCTACAGATTCAGTGCAGTCCTTACAGAATTCCAATGCCATTTTTGTTAAGTAGAACAATCAATCCTAAATTTTGTATGGAACCAGAAGAGAGCCTGAGCAGTCTTGAAAAAAGAACAGCGAAGCTGGAGGTATCACACTTCCTGATTTCTATTACCTGATTTCTGATTCTATAGAAATAGTTTTCTATTTATAATTCTATTACCTGATTTCTACTTCTATTATTTCTAATTCTTATTAATAGAATTAGAAATAGAATTAGACAGTACCACGCTGTGGTATTTCTAAAAACAGACACATAGATCAGGAAAACAGAATAGAGAGCCCATAAATAAATGCATGTATTCTGTCAACTAGTTTTTGATAAAGGTGCCAAGAATATACAATGGGGAAAAGATAGTGTCTTAAATGGATGCTGGGAAAACTGGATATCCACATGCAAGAGAGTGAAACTGACCCCCCATTTTACACCATACATAAGAATCAACTCAATATGGATGAAAGGCTTGAACATGACCTGAAACCATACAATTCCTAGAAGAAATAGAGGGGTAAGCTCCTTAACATTGGTCTTTGTGATGATTTTTTTTTTTTGATTTGACATCAAAAAGGCAACAAAAGCAAAGTAAACAATTGAGACTATTAAACTAATACTAAACTAAAAAGTTTCTTCACAAAAAAGAAAACTGTCAACAAAATGAAATGGCAGCCTATGAAATGGGTGAAAATACTTGTAAGTCACATATCCGATGAAAGGTTAATGTCCAAAACATACAAGGAACACATGCAACTCAATAGCAAAGAACACAAATAATCCAATTTTAAAATGGGCAGAGGACCTCAATAGGTATTTTTCTAAGGGAGACATAACAGGCCAACAGGTACATGAAAAGGTGCTTAACATCATTAATTATTAAGGAAATGAAAATCAAACCACAGTGAGATTTTACCTCATACTTTTTAGAATGGCTATTATCAAAAAAAGACAAGCAATACTGGCAAGTATTTGGAACAAATACTGGCAAGAATGTGGAGAAAATGGAAGACTTTTATGCTCTTGGTTGGAGTGTAAACTGTTTTCAGCCTCTAAGGAAAAAAGTATGGAGGTTCTTCAAAAAATTAAATGTAGAACTACTACCATACGATTGGGCATTTTTCTTCTGGATATATATGCAGAGGAAGTTCAGTACAGTTCAGTCACTCAGTCGTGTCCGACTCTTCGCAAAAGCCCATGGACTGCAGCACGCCAGGCTCCTCTGTCCATGGGATTCTCCAGGCAAGAATACTGGAGTGGGTTGCCGTTCCCTTCTCTTTAAGTGTTCCTCAGCTTATCCAAAAAGAAAGTCCCTTCCTTTGAATAAAAATAACATAAAATCTGTTTGATTGGGAACATTTCACTGCTATGAAGAATTCATAAAATGATAGGTAGTACCAGTTTTGGAAGTGCATTAAAATTAATTTATTAGACTCATACAATTTCTAATCTTATAATTTTAGGATCTCTGCTGAAATATTTTAAAATATTCTCAGTTACTAAAAGTGGAAAAATTCTAAAATATGCCTACTATTTAATTCTCTAAAATTCATCAAATGTAATATAAGATCCTTTTAACCTTGGTATAGAAAATCTTAAATGTTTGGATTAAGAAATCATTCCATTTGTCTTAGAAATCAGAGTGAGATAGCGTTTGTTTCTTTGTTGGTACTTTAGGACAGATCTGAACTCAACTTTCTCTTTGAGGGATTTTTGCTTTCAGTTTTTAGCTCATAACAAAGTCACATACCTCACTCCAAAAGGTAAATTTGCTGATAACTTTCTGAATAGCAGAGTATTAAAAAATATTTATGAAAATTATACACTTGTAGTTAAGGTAATAAAAATATAATATTATTTTGGTAACTCAAGAATTACTGAAAATGCAAGTATGGCCTAAACTATTATTTCATTTTTTTAAAATACAGGTTACTTGAACTTCAAATAGAGAAGCAGAAATGCCACCACCAGGAGGCACCCCACCACTACATCCACCTCCCGATGGAGGATGGGGCTGGGTAGTGGTTGGAGCAGCTTTTATCTCCATTGGATTTTCATATGCATTTCCCAAAGCTGTCACAGTATTCTTCAAAGAAATCCAGCTCATATTCAACACTACCTACAGTGAAATAGCATGGATATCATCCACTATGCTGGCTGTTATGTATGCAGGAGGTAAGGTTCTTTGGACTAAATTGATTTCTGGTTTAAGAAAACAATTGCTTCATGCCACAGTATTTTGCATATAGTATCTTGGTACATTAAAATCCTGTTTTCATATTACCCTCACTTAAAACCAACCAGAAGGATAATTAGGACGAAACTTTTAGTGATTTTTAGTGATTCAGCATCTTGAACTATTCACTTCATTCTGAGTGTTACTAGAGTATTTGCACAAACTAAGGTTTACTAAATTATGGAATTTTTAAGGGTGGCAAATTTCCATTTAATTTGAAATAGAGGCTATACTCTAGTATTAGTATCATTTCATTATATTGCTGCATTTGGTAGACATGCTTTTTTATGAATGGGAAAGAAACTCAAATTGCTGACAACCTATTTTCTAAGCCTAGGAAGTAATTCACTTCAAGTTGCAAAAATGGAGTGTAAATCATGTACATTCTGGATCCATTCAAGTTTGTGTGAATAAAATCATTCCTTATCTCTGTAGCTTATTAAATTTGTATTTATTTAATATAAATTAAATATTAAATATCTCTGTAGCTTACTTAAATATTCTAACATTTAAATGGTTGCTTGACAGTTTTCTTGTTACGTTCCATGTTCAAATGAGGGTGTGATTCATGAGGGATAGTGAATAAATTGGTACCATATTAGTGTGTTGGCCAAAAAGTTCATTTGATTTTTTTTCTGTAAGATGGCTCCAGTAGTGCTTAATTGTCTTTAAAATTTTGTTGAATTGTATTATAACAGATGTCATAGTGTGCATTAAAAAAAAAGCTTATCAAAGTTGGTGCATTTTTGTGTAGCCATTTTAATATTGAAGATGGAAGAAAACATTTTTGGCATGTTATGCTTTATTATTTCAAGAACGGTAAAAATGCAACTGAAACACAAAAAGATTTGTACAATGTACAGAGAAGGTGGTGTGACTGATCAAAAGTGGTTTGCAAAGTTTCATTCTGGGTTTTTCCCTCTGGACAATGTTGTACCATTGGGTAGATCAGTTGAAGTTGGTAGCGATAAAATCAGGACATTTATTGAGAGCAATCAATGTAATACCATGTGGGAGGAAGCTGACATACTCAGGGTATCCGAATCAAGTGTTGAATCACACCGAAGTCCAGTCTTCATCCAAAGAAAGTGATGTGTATATGGTGGGATTAGATGGGAGTCCTCTATTGTGAGCTCCTTCCTGAAAACCAAACAATTCATTCCAACAAGTACTGCTCCCAGTTAGAGCAACTGAAAGCAGCACGTGAGGAAAAGCCTCCAGAATGAGTAAATAGAAAGCATGTAACTTCCCATCAGGATGATGCAAGACCACACATTTCTTTGATGACCAGGCGAAGACTGTTACAGTGTGGCTTCAAAGTTCTGACTCATCCATCATATTCACCAGGCATTGCACCTTCAGATATCCATTTATTTTGATCTTTTTAAAACTCTCTTAATGGAAAAAAATCCAATTCCTTGGAAGACTGTAAAAGGCACCTTGAGCAGTTCTCTGCTCAAAAAAAGACAAAAAAGATTGGGAAGGTCAAATTATGAAGTTGCCTGGAAAATGGCAGAAGGCAGTGAAACAAAATGGTCACTGCATTGTTCAATAAAATTCTTGGTGAAAATGAAAAATGTGTCTTCTATTTTTATTTAAAAACTGAAGGAACTTTTTAGCCAACCCAATACTACTGACTATTAAAAAATACTGGATTATTAGTGCATTTTTATGTCCCCTATCAGCTTTAAATCAATCCCAACATCAGGCAAGATTGTCTACAGATTTTTTTAATCATTACTTAAAATATTTAGATTTTAGAATTTTCATTTTTCTACTGGATATTTGACTTTAAGGTACAGATATAGACTCAGAATATAAGCACTTAAAAGTGTGTGTTAGTTGCTTAGCCACGTATGACTTTTTGAGGCCCCATGGACTGTAGCCCTCCAGAGTCCTCTGCCCATGGAATTTTCCAGTCTAGAATGCTGCAATGCGTAGCCATTCCCTTCTCCAGGGAATCTTCCTGACCCAGGGGTTGAACACAGATCTCTAGTATTGCAGGCAGATTCTTTACCATCTGAGCCACCAGGGAAGCCCAACACTTAAAGAAGTTATACAAATCATCTTTCAATGTCTTACTTTATAGGTGAGGATAATATGGTTCATAGTGATTGTGATATAACATTAGGAATAATATCCAAACGTGTTCACATTTACTTTCAGCTCAGGCGTCTCTAAAATGCTTGGTGTGTGTCATATGACTTAATCCTCTTAACATTCTGTAAAATAAGAATTACTTCTCTCCATTCTATAGCCAAGGAAATAAATAAAATACTTTTCCTAGCTCAAGCAACTCATTAGGGACATAGAAATTGAGACCCCCCACATATGTAATCACTATGCTCTTCTGCCTTTCTCTTCCCTCCATAAAATGGCAGAGCTACATCTGTTCAAGGCCTTCCACAAACCTGATTCAGGTGTTGCCCCACCAAGGTTTTTGCTTTAGTGACATAATGATTATTCTTTATGCTGTTTTTGTTCAGTCACTCAGTTGTGTCCAATTCTTTGCAACCCCATGGACTGCAGCACGCCTGGCTTCCCTGTCCTTCACCATCTCCTGGAGCTTGCTCAAACCCATGTCCATTGAGTCAGTGATGCCATCCAACCATCTCATCCTCTGTCGTCCCCTTCTCCTGCTTTCAATCTTTCCCAGCATCAGGGGCTTTTCCAATGAGTTGGCTCTTCACATCAGATGACCCAAGTATTGGAGCATTGAATTATTCTTTTTTTTGTACTACCAAGGTAAAAATTTGATCCCCCAATAATCCTGTGTGTGTATGTGTGCATGTGTGCGTGCATTGGTGGGTATTTTCTACTTTCCATAAGTCAGTGATTTTGCATTAATCCAATGTATGTCTCCATTACCCTTTTGGTTAGGTTAAATTGATGCATTTCTGTTCCAGTACCAAAAGATATCTTTAAAATGCTATTTGGGCATGTCAATGGACAAGTCTTCTTTTAAAACACTTTGAGATTCTCTGTTAGTTGCTTTAAGGGTTGTCCTATGTTGTCTCTGATGACTGTGGAAACAGTAGATACTGTGCACTCAGTCTAGTCCATCTGTCCAATGGGTCAGGTGTTCTTTAATGATGTTTTGCTAAAGCATCTCTGATAACTGTTTTGTTCTGAGTTCCAAAACATGCTAATGTTAAGATATGTAGTTTCCCCCTTCTTAAATACAACTGAAATGGATTCCTCTAGTGAGTTTGTGTAAGTAAGTCTACTTCAGTTTGGACTTTGGGTTCCATACATTCATAATTTTCAGTTGAGTTGATCATTGACTAACTTATAAGCAACACAAAAATGTATGTAACCTTTTTGAAAATGAAAGTGAAAGTTGCTCAGTTGTGTCTGACTCTTTGTGACCCCGTGGACTATACAGTCGACGGAATTCTCCAGGCCAGAATACTGGAGTGGGTAGCCGTTCCCTTTTCCAGGGTATCTTCCCAACCCAGGGATCGGACCCAGGTCTCCCTCATTGCAGGTGGATTCTTTACCAGCTGAGCCACAAGGAAAACCCAAGAATACTGGAGTGGGTAGACTATCCCTTCTCCAGGGGATCTTCCTGACACAGGAATCAAACCAGGGTCTCCTGCATTGCAGGTGGATTCTTTACCAACTGAGCTGCCAGGGAAGCTCAAAGCCTTTGTAGTCTTCCCTTAATAAACTCCATCCAGATAGAGAATTAACAAAGAGAGCATGGAAGATCACATGGAATATTTTAAGGGCCAGGCCTAGAAGGGTTAGAAGACATTTCTGCACACCTTCCCTTGGTCGGAACTTTTATATTGCCCTACGTAAAGGCTTCCCAGGTGGTACTGGTGGTAAAGAACCTGCTTGTCATTGCAAGAGACATAAGAGATGTGGGTCTGATCCCTGCATTGGGAAGATCCCCTGGAGAAGCGCATGGCAACCCAGTCCAGTACTCTTGCCTGGAGAATCCCATGGACAGAGGAGCCTGGAGGGCTACAGTGCATAGGGTCGCAGAGTTGGACACGACTGAAGGGACTTAGCATGCATGCAGACCTAGAGGCAGGGGAAGGGTTTCTGGAAATTCAGGGTTTCTAGAGGAAGAAACAAAATAGGATAACACAGAGCGAGTCTCAGACAGAGCTTGATATCCCAATAATCATTCTCTATCCCATGAAAGCAGGATGTATTTATAGATTTAACCATGATCATATGACAGCCAGGAGTCATATGGCTGGCTCTGAAGGAAAACTTAGAATGAAGAACAGTCCAGTTACTTTTCTCAAGCCAATACATCTCAGCATCAAATTATAAATAAGTAAATAATATAAATGGGGCTTCCCAGGTAGTGCTGGTGGTAAATTTGAAGACCATAAGGCAAAAGGCATATAGTTTACTATTAAGACCAATGAGCCTCTATACCAAGTAACTGAAATATTGTGTTCAACATAATGCTAATTGCTTTAGCCTAGAGAACATCTAAGATCTGACACTCATTAGAGCTTAGCACTCAACCTATTAATCACCATGGTGGGGTCGCGGGGTAAGACGGAGTGTGTTCAGAAGCTTGGCCTATGATGTCCGGGCTGGAGTCTCTTGTAGCAATTAGTTGCATCTGGGCTTTGGTAGCAAGGTATTATCTTCCCTTCTGATGTCTGAATTAAAAATGAAACTAATGAAAGGAGTGCGGGAAGGATGGAGAAGAATGCAAATTATGTTTATCCCTTACTTCATCCTTAGAATAATAGCATTAAATTACAGCAACCCATCTGGCCATCCATATGGTCTCCTGGAGTTCTAACGAATTTTAGCAAATAGGTCAAGCAGAGTGGTCACCCCATTAATAAAGCACTAATTAGAAGTAGAAAACATATTACAATTTAAACTTTCCACATTGTTTAGACAGATATAAGGATTTATTTTGTAAACAGTAATTATGTAGGATTATCTTTTAGTGCAATGTGTG